AACTTGTAAAGAAAAAGTCGAAAAACAATTTATTAGCACATATTTAAGAAGAGTTTATTATTGGATCTTACGGACCATTCTGGCACGGTGAGAAGCCACAACCATTTCCGGTTTTTGCCTAGAATCAACAGCTTTTCAATGCAGTTGTCAACGGGCAGTTTTTCTCTTTCTTTCTCTTTTCAAGAACTTACCGTGATCACTTCACAGAGAGTCGCACAAACCACCCAAGTTGGTAGCATGTTTTCCCATTGTCCCAGCGGATACGTGCCACCAGCTGGATCTGTGGACGCAATGTAGAACTGAAAGAAAGATTTTGATCAGAGCAGAGCAAATACAAAACTTGGACCTATTGTTTGCCCGCAACCCTTCACCAATAAGTTCAAATCAATGCAAGTTCTTTTATATTTTAAGAGCTTATTTTTATGTTCTACATTCACGTTTACAAATTCTTAGTTAGTCACAGTTTTATGCGTGCTCTCAATTCGGATCTAACAATACCGTTGCACTGCTGGCTGCATCTGTTTCTGCTGGACTGTTTCCGTTTGGCTCTCCTGGCGCCCAGTTTCTGAAAACGCCGGATAAAAACACGGAAAATGTACAAAACCGATAAGTCGAGTTGGCACCATTTGACCAGGCAATCCCACTCGTCGTTGTCACATTGTTAATCCCCAATAACATTTGCTAAAGCTCAAAGTTAAAAAGAAATTTTCAGGACAACTCACACTATAGAAGAAATTTCCAAACGTTGAACATTGAGTCTTCAAATCAGCTGGTACAAGATCTAAGACCTATTTTGAAAACAATCACCACTCAATCACTAACTGGCAACTCCTGTATTCTCCGAATCACATCGAATCGTGCCCAAGTCAGCATTGGGATTCAATGCCTGACATTTGGCTCTAGCTCCACCAATGTAAGAGTCATTGATGAAGATTGCTTGATAACACGATCCACCGACATCAATGAAGCCACCACCAACAGCTGCACAATCGGCATAGGTTGTGGTGGGTACCTGGAGATGTTGATCCTTTTGCTTTAAAATAGGCTAGAACCATTCTTGAGAAGCTACTTAAGCAACCTCATTTATTGTGTCAAACATAAAAACCTAATTGCCTATGTTCTCAACGTTTACCGAAGTTGTGACACATGGTAGCGCTGGTGTCGTTGTGGTCGTAGTTGTGGTTGTTGTCGATGTCGTCGTTTTCTTTGTCGTTGTCGTTTTCTTTGTCGTTGTCGTTGTGGTCGGCTTCTTCGTTGTCTTCGTTGTGGGCTTTGTGGTAGCCTTTTTGGTTGTTGTCTTAAATAGTTCATTAGCTACAAAATAGTGTAGGTTAGTTTAATGGGGAAAAGTAAACAGTGTACTTGCAAGTTGTAAGTATGTGTAACCATAGAACTCGGATGCTTTCAAATGTTTCCCTAACTCTTCCGACAAACCGTGCATAAGGGCATTTGCAAAACGGGATCCTGTGGCAGGCCGACACCGCAAACCCTTTTGCCAGTCACAAGATTCGTCACCTAATCCAAAAAGTGATTGGCTCTTAACATAAGGCTCTAACCGCTTTCGTATCCAATGCACACACATCTCCTGGACAGGCGAGTTTGGGACAATGAATCGTTCTTGTTGAGGAGCCGCTAAATGAATGGAGATATTGGTGGATGTTAGAGTCGGCGTGGTAGACAATTTAAACACACTTCACTTTTAGAGCTCAAATTTCTTCTGTTCGATTCAAAGTTTATGTGTGTACAAAAGCGACTTAAAAACTCACGTGCATTTGTGTCCTTTGCTTTCTGACAAGCAAGTTCTATTCTGAGTGACCATTCCGTTGAGTCCACAGGTTGCCGTGCATGGTGCCGTCGATTTCCAGCCACTCCAAATGCCAAGATTTGGGAAAGCACAATTTGCGAGGACTTCTGAAAGCATTTCTTTCAGATCTATCTTCAATGTATTACTTGTGATTCGACACTTTGGCATCACATAGTCACTCGGCAGAGTCACATTTCCACAGAGAACTTCCTTGAGTTTGGAGTTGGGGTACTGAAATGGCAAATTCTGTCTTTTTAGCTGTCTGGTAGAACTTTAGCCAATAAACGAAAAACTTACGAGTGAATATCCCTCAGCACAGGCATTCGAGTCATCAGGACATGGCTTCGGAGCACATGGTCTTGTTCGAGAATATGGTCCCCTGGAAAGATTTGAATGGTTGTTTTTAAACGTACACAAAATTGTTTAGTTACTCACTGGCATGGACATCCCCATTTCCATGTGAGACACGTCCTCTTTTGAACTTTTCTTCCGAATAAACCACACGTGCCTGTACAGCTTGTATAGTCTTCCCACCTTGACCAGTGGCCTGGAATTTGTTGCTTGATCACTTGTTGATGTTTTTGTTAAGTTTAAAAGATTTACCAGCTGCTGGACACTTTGAACAAATGGGGAGAGAGGCTAGCGTGGTGCTTGCTGAAAGATCACTATCATAACTGTGTTCATCTTGAGTTGTAATTTAGCTAGCTAAGGAGAATAATCAGAAGTTAACCTCAAGTTAAGCTGACAGCTGACATAGCTATTCTAAATCTCAAGTTACTTACACAAAGTCTGGTGTACTGCCTCAGTTCTCCAGTAACCTTTGAAATAAGAGTTACTTGCAAGTTACTTTCTTACTTGTTACAAGCTTTTCAGAACTGACGTTAGATTGCAAGTTGCATATTTAGATGACACTAGCTTACAATTATAGTGTCTTATATTTATAAACAAACTGTTCACCGCAAAACCTACCATATAGCCCGATCACAGCACAGATGATGAGCATGTTGGAATGAGCAATAAGTTGTTCGAGTGACTCTTGTCTAAGTGACTCTGATGGCTGATCTACATGCCTTTGACGCCTTTCACCCCTTTTATAGATGAATTGGGAACGCATTTTGAACCTCAATAGCAAAATTTGATTCAAATCCAAAGTCCATTGAAAGGGACTACAATAGTCTGAAAAAGAGTCGATTTGGAAATTTGGTCGAAAGTGATCGATTTTCGATCACCGCTAATTTTGAAACTGGAAAATTTTGCTTCCGAGTCAGGACAATGACTTTTATAACAATGGAATCAAAAGGAACTCTGGATTTTGCGTGCGTGCAAAGGTGCACATTTTTTTGAAAACTACCGTAGCCAAACGATCAACGTCTGCTAAACAACAAAAAAGGCACAAGTACCTTATTTTCTGTAATAGTAGTGCAGGCAGGTGGCGGATAGACTCAATCTAAATCAGACGTCCGATTTAGACTCAATCTAAATCAGACGTCCGATTTAGATTTAGAGTCTAAATGCGACGTCTGATTTAGACTCAGTTGTTGTTTTATGTTTTACAGAAGTTTTCAGAATTTTTTTATCGGCTATGAATTGCAAACAAGTTTATTTTTAGAACAAACAACAAAAGATGCGAAAACAACAAGATTGAACAATACATAATCAACTTAAATTAGATTGCAACAACTGCAATTTTTTGTACAATGTTTCAAAAACGAACTTTGATATCCCGTAGTAAATCTTAAGATGTTGACACATCAATCCAATGCGTGCTCGACACAACAAATGAGTCAGGTACACTCGATGGAGAAAGCGATGAGCGCGAGGAAAAAGTGATAAGCGAGTTGCTCGGCACAACATCAGATTCAGGTATACTTTATTGCTTTGTTATTGTTAATAGATTCTTTAATTACATGGTACTTGGTTTTTTCTTTAAGTTAGGTTCTTAAGTTGCATACTTGGTAAAAGTTGTATATTGCCAGGAACGAGAGCTATGTTTGATGCGAAATTCCAGCACTATCTAGCTGAGAAGAAAACTGGTCAAATTCCGACAAAGGAGATCTACAACTTGATGGTGGATCGCATCAAAAAACATGAAAACCAAGAAGAGGTGAAAGCGACCGATGGAGTAAACCGTCACCAGGAAGCAAATCTGTTGAAGAGATATATCGTATCGATTGAGAGTGAAAAATCAGTTCTATATCATGAAGGTGAACAAACAGCAAAGCGCAAAACAGAAGTGAAGCCACAAAAAGTTGTCTATCAAGAAGAACTTTATGAAATCCTTCAGCAAACACACCTCTGTTAAGCTGGCATTGGATTGATGTGGCCACATCTTAAGATTTACTACGGGATATCAAAGTTCGTTTTTGAAACATTGTACAAAAAATTGCAGTTGTTGCAGTCTAATTTAAGTTGATTATGTATTGTTCAATCTTGTTGTTTTCGCATCTTTTGTTGTTTGTTCTAAAAATAAACTTGTTTGCAATTCATAACCGATAAAAAAATTCTGAAAACTTCTGTAAAACATAAAACAACAACTGAGTCTAAATCAGACGTCGCATTTAGACTCAAAATCTAAATCGGACGCCTGATTTAGATTGAGTCTATCCGCCACCTGCCTGCACTACTATTACAGAAAATAAGGTACTTGTGCCTTTTTTTGTTGTTTAGTAGACGTTGATCGTTTGGCTACGGTAGTTTTGAAAAAATGTGCACCTTTGCACGCACGCAAAATCCAGAGTTCCTTTTGATCCCATTGTTATAAAAGTCTTTCATAAGATCCATTGCCTGCGTGAGTTCAAACAATGTCCCAGACCATTTGACAGTCTGTAGAAGCTTCCACGATGAAAAATCTCGTTCCTGGTCCATCCTGGCGCTGAAATTAAAATATTCGGGCTGAATTTAAAAAAACCAAGAGTTCCTTTTGATTCCATTGTTATAAAAGTCATTGTCCTGACTCGGAAGCAAAATTTTCCAGTTTCAAAATTAGCGGTGATCGAAAATCGATCACCTCGACTCTTTTTCAGACTATTGTAGTCCCTTTCAATGGACTTTGAAGTTGAATCAAATTTTGCTATTGAGGTTCAAAATGCGTTTCGAATTCATCTATAAAAGGGGTGAAAGGCGTCAAAGGCATGTAGATCAGCCACCAGAGTCACTTAGACAAGAGTCACTCGAACAACTTATTGCTCATTCCAACATGCTCATCATCTGTGCTGTGATCGGGCTATATGGTAGGTTTTGGGGTGAACAGCTTGTTTATAAATATAAGACACTATAATTGTAAGCTCGTGTCACTAAATATGCAACTTGTAATCTATCGTCAGTTCTGTAACAGTACACCAGACTTTGTGTAAGTAACTTGAGATTTAGAATAGCTATGTCAGCTTAACTTGAACTTAACTTCTCATTATTCACCTTAGCTAGCTAAATTACAACTCAAGATGAACACAGTTATGATAGTGATCTTTCAGCAAGCACCGCGCTAGCCTCTCTCCCCATTTGTTCAAAGTGTCCAGCAGCTGGTAAATTTTTTAAACTTAACAAAAACATCAACGTCAACAAGTGATCAAGCAACAAATTCCAGGCCACTGGTCAAGGTGGGAAGACTATACAAGCTGTACAGGCACGTGTGGTTTATTCGGAAGAAAAGTTCAAAAGAGGACGTGTCTCACATGGAAATGGGGATGTCCATGCCAGTGAGTAACTGAACAATACAAAATTGTTTCAGTACCTTTAAAAAACAACCATTCAAATCTTTCCAGGGGACCATATTCTCGAACAAGACCATGTGCTCCGAAGCCATGTCCTGATGACTCGAATGCCTGTGCTGAGGGATATTCACTCGTAAGTTTTTCGTTTATTGGCTAAAGTTCTACCAGACAGCTAAAAAGACAGAATTTGCCATTTCAGTACCCCAACTCCAAACTCAAGGAAGTTCTCTGTGGAAATGTGACTCTGCCGAGTGACTATGTGATGCCAAAGTGTCGAATCACAAGTAATACATTGAAGATAGATCTGAAAGAAATGCTTTCAGAAGTCCTCGCAAATTGTGCTTTCCCAAATCTTGGCATTTGGAGTGGCTGGAAATCGACGGCACCATGCACGGCAACCTGTGGACTCAACGGAATGGTCACTCAGAATAGAACTTTGCTTGTCGGAAAGCAAAGGCCACAAATGCACGTGAGTTTTTAAGTCGCTTTTGTACACACATAAACTTTGAATCGAACAGAAGAAATTTGAGCTCTAAAAGTGAAGTGTGTTTAAATTGTCTACCACGCCGACTCTAACATCCACCAATATCTCCATTCATTTAGCGGCTCCTCAACAAGAACGATTCATTGTCCCAAACTCGCCTGTCCAGGAGATGTGTGTGCATTGGATACGAAAGCGGTTAGAGCCTTATGTTAAGAGCCAATCACTTTTTGGATTAGGTGACGAATCTTGTGACTGGCAAAAGGGTTTGCGGTGTCGGCCTGCCACAGGATCCCGTTTTGCAAATGCCCTTATGCACGGTTTGTCGGAAGAGTTAGGGAAACATTTGAAAGCATCCGAGTTCTATGGTTACACATACTTACAACTTGCAAGTACACTGTTTACTTTTCCCCATTAAACTAACCTACACTATTTTGTAGCTAATGAACTATTTAAGACAACAACCAAAAAGGCTACCACAAAGCCCACAACGAAGACAACGAAGAAGCCGACCACAACGACAACGACAAAGAAAACGACAACGACAAAGAAAACGACGACATCGACAACAACCACAACTACGACCACAACGACACCAGCGCTACCATGTGTCACAACTTCGGTAAACGTTGAGAACATAGGCAATTAGGTTTTTATGTTTGACACAATAAATGAGGTTGCTTAAGTAGCTTCTCAAGAATGGTTCTAGCCTATTTTAAAGCAAAAGGATCAACATCTCCAGGTACCCACCACAACCTATGCCGATTGTGCAGCTGTTGGTGGTGGCTTCATTGATGTCGGTGGATCGTGTTATCAAGCAATCTTCATCAATGACTCTTACATTGGTGGAGCTAGAGCCAAATGTCAGGCATTGAATCCCAATGCTGACTTGGGCACGATTCGATGTGATTCGGAGAATACAGGAGTTGCCAGTTAGTGATTGAGTGGTGATTGTTTTCAAAATAGGTCTTAGATCTTGTACCAGCTGATTTGAAGACTCAATGTTCAACGTTTGGAAATTTCTTCTATAGTGTGAGTTGTCCTGAAAATTTCTTTTTAACTTTGAGCTTTAGCAAATGTTATTGGGGATTAACAATGTGACAACGACGAGTGGGATTGCCTGGTCAAATGGTGCCAACTCGACTTATCGGTTTTGTACATTTTCCGTGTTTTTATCCGGCGTTTTCAGAAACTGGGCCCCAGGAGAGCCAAACGGAAACAGTCCAGCAGAAACAGATGCAGCCAGCAGTGCAACGGTATCGCCACTAATACTTTTCTAAAGGACTTTAACTGTACCAAAGTAATGAACTAGCACTTGTATTTGCTCTGCTCTGATCAAAATCTTTCTTTCAGCTCTACATTGCGTCCACAGATCCAGCTGGTGGCACGTATCCGCTGGGACAATGGGAAAACATGCTACCATCTTGGGTGGTTTGTGCGGCTGTCTGTGAAGTGATCACGGTAAGTTCTTGAAAAGAAAAGAAAGAGAAAAACTGCCCGTTGACAACTGCATTGAAAAGCTGTTGATTCTAGGCAAAAACCGGAAATGGTTGTGGCTTCTCACCGTGCCAGAATCTTCCGTAAGATTCAATAATAAACTCTTCTTAAATATGTGCTAATAAATTGTTTTTCCACTTTTTCTTTACAACTTTTTGTGCATTTATTTGACAGATTAATTTAAACCTTTATACATTTTGACGACGCACACTTATAGAGATCTAGTTTTCCCTCTGTTGGAAGGTAATATTTTCATCTGATCCGATCCCACTGAATTGTCCAGCCACGAAATCTGAAAACAAAAGGGTTTAAAGAATAACACACTCTAGTGGAAACTTGAAGCTACAGTACTTGGAGCAGAATTAGCAATCTAAATTCTAGAATGCATTTCTCATCTCACTCATAAATCTCACTTTTTCTTATGAACTCCAGTCCGTAAGCGCTGTTTGGCACTTGTATCATGTCCAATCGGAACGAACTCCGAAATCAGTTCCAAGTTTTGCTTCTTTTCATTCAAATCTGAAAACAACTCGCAAAAGTCTTTGTAGCTTTTGAATTCATAAAGACTCTTGGATCAAATAATTGCTTCATAGTACTTTGAAACGCTGATTAGTTCCTCATCACTTACCTAGAGGCTTCTGCTCTCGTTGTCGTTTTTCGAATAAACAGCTTTCCTTTCAATGTTTGACTCAAACTTTTGACAAAATTTCGAGAGCTTGCGCTGTTCTTTGATTACTAGTGGGCCAACCAGAGGATTTGCGTAATTAGATCTTTCAAAAAAATGTAGAAGTCTTGCTTTAGCTCTCGTAATATGTTTTGGGGCTAATTTTACAGGGTGAGTGCAGGAATTTTCTATGGCAAGGAGGATTTTAGAACAGAGAAAATTATAGTCATCATCTATAGAATTTGTCCTAGAGCAGAAAGAGCTCCCTCTAAGGGGAGTTTAAGAAGGAAAGAGCCGCTTGGTCGGGATTAAAATCAAAATGCACGCAACCTTTCAAGGTCCGCAAGGAGTCGTACCTTCCGCAAGGAGTCGAAAATTGCGGTCTTCCAATTTTGAACGTGATCCCATAATGGTCAGATCCAGGAAGAGGCTCCAATCGCCTCAGCTCCATGATGGTATCAGGGGAATCAGACAAGACCAGACCTAAAATAGAAAATGAACGGCAGAAGGTAGCATGTGTTTAAAATAAATAGAGAGCATAAAGAAATTTTGTAGCAAAATGGTGGGATGGTGGTACTTATCGAACACAAATTTGTCATTGGCATAAGTCACATGAAAATTTAAATCGCCTAGTAAAATGTTGACTTCTGAATCGTGCAAGAAAAGTGATAAATGATCAAAAAGACGAGAAGTATCAGCATAATTCACGCTAGGGGGCCGATAAACGACAAGAAAACGAACCTTTCTGCCAAGATAAACATCTACAATTATAATTCCACAGTTAAAGATGGAAATGCAGTAAATTACATGGTGGGTAAAAGACTTAAGGAGCAAAAACACAACCGCGCCATCATGCGATTTGGTGGAAGAAGCTCTATCACATCTAATAATATGGTAAGAGTCACAAGAATAGAGGAAACTAGAGAGTCGTCTAGCCATGTCTCGGTAATAGCAAGAAAAGAATAAGATTTTGTACGAGTCATGGTCTGGAAAGTAGCTAAGCGTTTTTTGCTATTAGAAACTATGCTATGGGCAATGGCAAGAAAAACACTAGGGGAAAAGAGAGCATCAAACTTGGGAAAGCGATCCGGGTAATTTCTCCTCTGTAGAATGCAAGATTGACTGATTGACTTTGTTGTTTGAGGAGTTTCTTCCCAATCCTCCGTTCCGATGGGTGAGTGAAAAAGGCACCCTCATCGTTTTCCGTTTCATCTCGAAAATTCTTTGCTAATGGTTCGTTCACATCGGACAAGGAGCGTGCTTTTGCGCAACCCAGGCGGGTCAATCTTCGTGGAGTTAATCCTCTTTGGAGGTCGGCCCTTCTTGACTGGAGACAGCCTTTGTAGAGGCTGTCGGCATGCTTTCCCTTGTCGTATCCTTTTGCGCAGCCATGCCAACAGTCATTTCGGAAGCAGTCACATTGACACCAGCACATGCAGGGCTCCAACCTGGCCCTGAGGTGCACTCCTTGTCTTATTCACGTCGAGGTGTGAAAGGGGAGCATGTTGAGTTGAAGGAAATGTCTCCTGCCTCTTGCTTTTGTAGCGACTTGGGTCCGAGGTCCGTTTAAAACTTGGGACTTGGGTCCGTTTAAAATAAACTTTCGAGTTCAATGCTTGGTCATAGCTAAAAGTAGAGTAAAAATGCTCAAAAATACTTGTGTCAACTTTTTTATAGCCTCTCGGAAAGGGTTCCTAAATTTGTGTTTGAAAGTTGCCACCCAGGAGCCGCCAAGACTTTTGTCCATGACTGTATTGTAGAATTCGAACCTTACAATGTGCTACAGTACCTGGTTTTCGTAGTAAAACATTTAGAAATCTTCATTGCCCATTGAATTCTATTTTCAGATCGACAGCATTGGGCATGGAAAAACCGTTTCGGGAGCAAAATCAAGCAGTTAACTAATGCTGATTTGAAAGGATATGGCGCTACAGGCAAGGCAAAGGTCTCATCAGCTCCACATGCTAATTTGGATGATCTGAAAGCCACCCTTATCAAGGAATGGGCAAAAATCCCCGTTGAGACTCTCCGTGCCGCGGTCGACGATGTGCCGAAGCGACTTAGGGCTTGCATGAAGGAAAAAGGAGGAAACTTTGAGATTTAACTGTTTTTATTTTGTTATTTGGACTGTTGTTGTTATTTTCAGTAAAATTCTATAAAGCTTTTCTGCTAATTTTCTGAAGACCAGTCGGTCTTTTCATCGCCGGATATTTTGGCCGCACCCTGTACTTTAGAGAAGAATAATCCAGTGATCAATCCGGAAATTTTGATGGTTAGTCCGTCTACCTGCATGCAGTGTATTGATGAAGGCCTAATCAGCGACCTAAATTTTCAGGAAAAATCAGGAGGTGAGAAATAATTTAACTATTGAAATCTATATTGTCTATTGTTTCGTTGAAAGTTGATCAATTTCAGCGATGAATTCGTTAGCGGAAGCTCGGCGACACGGGAGAATAAAAAGATGAAAGCAAAGGCTCGATTTGGATTTGGATTTGGATTTGAAGACTTTGAGGATACGGTATCGAAAAGTGACGCCCAAGTAGGCTAAAAAAGGCAGATGTTTTCACTTTTTTTGTACTCGGATACTGTAAAGAAATATTCTTTGCGTGCTTGGTACTCTTCACTCAAGACACGTTATTTCTTGTTTCGAGACATCTGCTCTCACGAGAATTAAGACACTTTATTCAATAGCCGACTGACTCGGAATCTTTGGGCTCTCACTTGAGCAATTTTCACACAAAATCGACAATCGAGTTAAAAGCGACGATAAAAACAGAAACAATTTCGTCCTAATTAGGACACAGCTTTCACACCATGAAAGGAAAAAAGGAAAAATAAAAGATAACAAAAGCAAATGAACAACAGTTGCCTTATATAGGCTTTGACTCAAGATACTCAGCTAACAAGCTACAAAACAATAAATGATTTGGGGCGCGAAATAGAATGAAGGCGCACCGATTTCCTCAATATTTTTCCAATTTTTAGGCTGCCAGAGTTAGGTAACTTTTTAGTGGCTATTCGCCACACTCCGAACTCCAAAATGATTCAGAGTTTACTCTGGATTCTCCCCCGCAACGCAAAATGTGAAGCGGAAACTTGTTCTGCGACAATCTTAACAGAGAAAGTTTAAGTTTTTTGAGGAAACCTTGTACATCAGGAATTTTGTAGGGAGGAATTTAAATCTTGAAAAAGAGCAAATTTTTGAACGAGGAGTAGGGGGAAGGGAAAACACAACAACTAATATTTGGATGAAGACTGGCCTTTGATCATTTTGATTCCAAGTTTCTCACAGAAAGTCACGTGATGTCGACCGCTGCAATTTGTTGCATGGTCCCGGATGTTCTTTTAGGCAGTTTTTCGAAATTTGGCATATTCTGTTCATTGATGCAATCCTCATTCTGTCAAAATATTCAATCTTCATTGAACACTTGACTATATCTTTGCATGTTTTGGCTCCACAGAATATGCAATCTTTTTTAACATGACGTTGTGTGTTGGCTGTCGTCACTTTTCACTTCGTGGGTGGTTCATCTCCATCGTTCAAGTCTTCAATCAGCTCTCTCTTCAGCTTATTGAGCTTTTGGTTGATCGTTCCTCAATGGTCTGCTTCCATTCGACGAACATCTCCCTCAAGTCATCTTTGATTGAAGCCGATGTGGCAAGAGTCTCCGTGAAAATCGCGTTCGATAGCTTCTCCGTTGTTTCGTTGATCATCGACGTGATTCCCAAAAACTTCTCCTCCATCTTCTCCATCAATTGCTTCACCTCGGACGTAGTGGTGCTCTCTATCGTGGTGTCTTCGATTTTGGCTGACATGTCCCTGTAATTTGAACATTTAAATGTTGTTTAAAAAGAAATCTTGTTGAAAGAGAAATTTTAAGAAAGGGGGAAACTTGATACAAATAACGTCCGACGGGTTAATGATTTTGATTTAAATTTTTCAATATTAAATTCACAAGGTGTGCTTCGAAAAATATACAATTTGTTACGGAAGTGCGAGCTTTGTTGCTTTGTCGAAATGCTCAGAAATTGTCATCTGGCGCTTTCCGATAATTTACTTTGCCTTTTGCGGCTCTTGGCGTACTGTTGCGTAGTGTTGCTTTTTTCGACGTAATTTCGCACGGTTTTTCAAAATTTTCTTCAGCGCGAATTTCTAGTGGTATCAACAAATTGATTGATCTTTCAATTTGCTTATTATTGCCTCTTTTGACAATAGCACTTCGAATTTTTCCATCTGCGCCTGTCATTAAGCGTATAATTTTGCCTTTTGCGTAAGAACCTCTTTTTACGTCTTCCTTCATTATCAGTACAATTTCGCCAACTTGAATAGCTACTTTTGATTCTCGCTTACTTGCGTGTCGTTTGCCACTTTCTCGTAATGAGTGCATGTAGCTGTTATGGAATGTTTTCCATACCAAGT